CACTTCAGCATTTTAAATACCCCTCCCCCCCCCCCCCCCCCCCCCCCCCCCCCCCCCCCCCCCCCCCCCCACACCTTTTAAAGACAGTACCATCTTGAGGAATTCACTGGCAGGAACAAGAAGACCTACAGGTGGGCCTTTTAGGTGGCCCAGCAAAGGTCAGGATGAAGGAGCCCGTGTTATTACCATCATCGTCATCATAACTCACAAGCACAAGACATAACATTTGTATAGTGTTTTACAAAATGCTTTGTCTCATTTTACCTCTCACAATAAATCCAAAACAAAAGCTGAGGGACTATTCTTATTTACAGATGAGAAAATGGAGGCTCAGAGGAGAGAGGTATGATCACAGGCCCGAGGGCCCATAGCTGGGAAAGAATCACTCAAACCCAGGCAGGCAACTGGGAATCCTCTCCTCCTCCCATTGGGCCACACTGCTGCCGGCTGGGTTTCCAATTAAACAATTCCCTCAGGGTGAACACCAAGGTGTCTTACATCTGACCTCAACCAAGGGAGTTGATAGCGGAAGTGCACTTTTGCGTGGCATGACGTGCCACAAGGCAATCTGGTGATTGAGACAGCATCTACAGAGCAGCAAGCATGAAGAACAGAGGGAAACTGGCATTTAGTCAAAAGTTTGGTATGACAATTTTGGGAGACTCTGTCTTGTGGTTTCTGATTTGGGATGTTCTCAGAAAGAAGCCATTTCTGAACTCCAGAAGTATGCAACTTATTTATACATATATTTATAGCACTGCATGCTCAGGGGCTCTTCCTTCCTAAGAAACTCAAAAAGCACAACTTTCACTAATAATGAATAGCAGTTGCTTATTTTTAAGCTCTACTCAAAATAAGCTAGTGCTGTTAGCAAGAGCACAGGTTCTTTCTCGTCACCTTTCAAGGATATTACGTTCTGGAGACACTGCTTTGAATATATCCAATTACTAGATTCCGCCTTGCAACCTCATTAGATGTGTAACAGTTTCAGAAGAAAACTGAGGGGTAACCCAATGCTTGGTTTACTCATTGGTAAATCAGGTATATTAATAGCTAATAATGATAGCTGCTGTTTATTATGTGTTTCCTCTTGGCCAAGCACCATTAAGATGCTTTATATAACTGATGTTATATAATCTATGACGTTGGGAAATTGTTTTTATTAATTCCCCATTTTATAGATAGGAGAATCGGGGTTTAAAGAGGTTGAGTAACTTGCCCACTGTTGTGTGGCCAAGACTGATCTGTGTCTTTACCACACAGTCTTGTGAGCAGCTTGATAAAGATTGGAGCTTTTCGGCTCATCGCTCACGCCTGGCTCAGTGGCCAGCACACAGTAGGGGCTTTACACAAGTGTGTCGAGTGAATGCATGAACCAGCAAGACTCAGGTGTCTCATACATTGGCTGGATTCACCTAAAAGTGGTTTTAACAAAGCTGTTTTGCCTGTGACTGGATAAAGCAACTTGCTTAAGAGCCCAGACAGAGGCAGCCCCTCTCTTTATCCAGGCGGCAGGTGTAGTCTTTGGCCCTCCTGCATACCTATTTAATCATGATCCCACCAGCAAACCAACAGAGAAAGGGCTTCATCCAGGACACCACGGTAGGGACCTCGACAGTGGCCAAACCTGATGAATCAAAGATTCAGGGCCTTTTCCTGGGTGGTCCCCTGCCCAGCTACTGCTTGTGTCCCTTCCAGCCAGTTGTGGCCTTAATCTTTCAGATGGAAATGCTGGGACTGCAGTTTGAGGATGGGCTCTTTCTGGAGATATCACTGGTTCACCTCTGGGAAGGCCCCACCTGGGCCTGGCCTTGGGAGCGAATTCCTAAATCTGTAGTATGTGTCTCTTCTGGGGCATCTTGAGCATCCCTTCTGCAAGAGAACACAGAGAAAGGCAACCTGATGGATTATTATTAGTAGATAAGTAAACCCATTTTCCACAGACAGGTAAGGAAATGGGCCTTTGTGCATATTTGAAAAGGCTGGTCCCACAGGACAGATGAGTTATGAAAAGCAACATTTTCCTAAGGGGCTAGGCCTAGGCAGCCCCACTCAGGTTGGAGACAAGGCTGCTTTTGCAGGTTGTGTCTTGCTCAGGGGACTGCCAAGAAGTTTAAAGCAGTTCTCTACTCAAGGCCTCCAGGGCTAAAGCCCCTCTACTCTGCAGGTGCTGGAAAATTGGGCCTCATGCTCTCAGTCTGCCTGATTCTACTACTGATGGGAGGGCCTCAGCCCCTTCTTTTGTAGTTCTAACTGAAATAGCTAGACCTAGAACCAGAACTAGACTCTGACCTAGTTCTTAAGTGCCTTCCCAAGCTCAGAAAAGTTCTTTCCAGACCCCATGAAGTATCTTCACCCCTTGTTTTTCCTTGTCAAAAGATGCTTCCAAGCATTAAACCCATTTATAACAATTTTACCTGTTCATTGTCTATCTCCCCCCTAGGATGTGAGTTCTAGGATGGCAGGAGCCATAGCACTTTGGGGTCATCATTCCATTCTCAGGCCCTAGCACGGGGCCAGGCACACAGAAGGCACTCAGTATTAGTTGGATGGATGAGTGAGAGTCAAGATTAAGAAGCAGGAGAGATTTAACAGTTTAATGTAGACCTCATTTTTGACAGCAAAGTAACACTGAATGTGGGATTAATAGTTTGCTTAGGTACCAATGTGGAGTCAGGAATCCTCAACCCCACTTTGTCTTTTCTTCTCATCCACCTATCCATGTCCGTACAAGGCAGCAGAAATAGGCCAAAGCCGGAAAGTCTCGCTCACTGTAGATTCCAGAGGTTGGCAACCACAGAACCACAGAGGGTTAGTGGACACACTAATTTCTAGGATAGGGTGGCCTGCCACTTTGGGGAAAGAAATGGTGTCAGAGGGACTTCTGAAAGGCAGAGGGGAGTAGTGGATGGTTTCCTATGCCTGGACCATTCAGTTCTGGAGGTGGGGGAAGAGGCAGGTGGCAGTGAGTGATGTGCTTGGCTGAAGACTGTGGAGGCTGGAAAGGAGCTTGGGAGGCTGAACCTCTAGCAACCCCCAAAGAGCTGTTGCCTGTGAGTAGGGGCAGAGTAAGCAGACAAAGGCATTGATCTTGGATGGACAACTGACAAGTGGCATGCCGGGGAATTTCAGGGAGCAAGGGCATGTGGTATGCCAGCAAGAAAAAATCCAACATAGCTTGATGGAGGGACCGGCCTAGACAGGGAAGCAGAGGAGACCTAATGAAGAGCTGAGGGGCTGGAGGTGGAGGTGAAGTGAAATAAGAGTTCAGTGGGAGCCAGGAGGTGAAATACTGGGGGAGGTGAGGGGCTGAGAATCGAACAGACATATTAGGCTCAGGCCATACAGAGGATTGGCGTCTAAAATGTGTTAAGATGGCACTGAGATCACTAATTAAGGAGAGGTAGACACGGAGAAGCTATTCACACAAGTGAGAACATTTTTGTTATCCTCTATATCAAGTGCTCCCTCACTGACAGGACTGCAAGGTCAGCAGCCACAAGAATGGACCTGAGAGGAATACCAATCGCTCTGCTCCTTTGTAAGGGATAGAGAAGCCTGGATTTCCAAATTCAAAACACCCATCCGGCTGCTTCTACAAATCCCTGAATAGGGAATCAGTCCAGAGATACAGAATTTTTTTCCGCCAATATCTTACGGAGGACTTGCGTAACTCCACGGAGCTTCCAGTAAACACCAAGAACCCAAACCGGAGGTGTGCAGTGTGTGTATGTGTGTGCTGTGTGTCCAAGGGTCAGAGACGTGCGCTCCCGCAGTGAGGGCGGCCTCAGACGCAAATGCCCAGGCCCGCCACCCAGTCGCCCGCTGAGAGGATCTGGCCGCCAACTCCAGGAAACAAAAAACAACGACAAAACAAAACAAACAAAAAACCCCCCTCCATAATGGATATCCCCAGGGGTCTTCCCCCCCCCCC